TTATAATATTTTGTATATTATTCCATTTAAAATAAACTTTTTAGATTAGTTCAACTACGGTAGCGAGCATAGTTTTAATCGCCGGTTTTGCTAGTGGGGCATAATTGGAGCCATTTCGGCTATAACGAAATTTTTTAAAGGTACATAATTATAATTTTAGAGCATGTCCATAAAACATTTAATCACAGTTGATTAAAAAAAGTATACCATTAATATTAAAAATTATATTTTATCCTCTCATAGTATATGTCTATTTGATTTTTTGATTATGTACCGAGCACTTTGTTTAGTCACTTTATTCGTCGAACTGCTTGAATTCATTTTTGCTTTTAATCAAATCGGTGTGAGAAACTATGAAGCTATAAAATGTTGTTTTGGAAGCAGGGCCGGATCTACCTAAGGGCTGTTTGGACTGCAGCCCAGGGCCCCGAGGTTACAAGAGGCCCCCAGACCCCGCTAAAAACAAGAGACCCATAGGTGGGAACTGTTGAATCGTGAAATAAAATTAAAATTCACGTTAAAAAGTTTAAACCAGGCCAGATGGTCTTGCCACTATGATGCTGTCAAAGCCTTAAAAAATAATTATGATGAGATTATGAAAATTTTCGAAAGTTTCACCGAAAATGAGATTGAGAAAGTTGATTTCCGGAAAGAGGCACGAAATTTATTCAATAAAATGGCGAAACTTGAGGCTGCAATTTTGATTATCTTTTGGGAAGAAGTTTTGGAGAGATTTCATTTAGTTAATAAAAAAAATACAGAGCCCTGGTTTAGACATTTGTGAAGGCAACAAGTTAATTGTGTCATTAAAAGACTTTTAGAACAACATACGACACCAATCAGATCAAAAGCTAAAGGAATACGAAGAGAAAGCTAAAAAATTAAGTACTAGTGTGGGAATAGACTACAATGACATAAACAAGAGACGCATTACTCCAAAATGTTCAGATAAGTCTACAGGTGAATTCTCAGTATATGGCGCCGGCGCAGAAAGATTTAAAAGAGACACGTTAAACGTTGCGTTGGATAAGCTGATTATGGATTTAAATAAAAGGAGCCAAGTCTATATGAGACTTCTAGCAAAAAATTCAAATTTTTAATGGATTTGCAAGACAAAAATATCGAAAACATAGATTTGGAAATTGCTCGTCATATTATTGATTACTATCCCGATGACGTAGACGAGCATTTAGTGAATGAGTGCATTCAATTAAAATCGTACTTACTCCAATCTAAGCCAGAGTACACCTCTTGCAGTGACATTTTATGCTCATGTATGAAAATAAACTTATTGACGTGTTCCCTAACTGCTATACCATTTTAAAGATTTTTTAAACACTGCCAATCATTAGCTGTGAAGCAGAACGCTCCTTCTCCAAGATGTCCTATGTAAAAAATAAATATAGGACAACAATGTCAAACCATTGACTAAATAATTTATCACTTCTTTCTATAAATTGTGATCTAACAAAAGACTTGCAATGTGATGACAAAATAACTGTCAATTTCTGTGACTGCAACCTATCAATTTCTTTTACTAATTCATAATAAATAAATAAAATTGTTTTAGTTTTTTTGTTCTTATTATAATATCACTATTTCGGTTTTCTCTCACCCAAAGGCTGCTCTGGAAGAGATTGCTACCACAGCAATAAGGTCGCCTTTTGTACAACTAATACTCTCGTATATTTAAGTAACATTTATGGTTTTTTTGTGCAATAAAGAATATATAATAATAATATATCATTATAGAAACAGTTTTTTGACATGGCTATTAGTTGAGTACTTAGGTAGGCCCCTAAGTAGTTTCCGCCCAGGGCCCCACAAACTCACGATCCGCCCCTGTTTGGAAGAGTTGAATATCCGGGAAAGTTGAGTTATTGAACGTTATTGCACCCAACAACGCCCTAATTACGCTCTCTTTTACGCGATAACATTTTTTCGGCAATTTTATTAACATTATGACAAAACCACGATTTCGATATTATATATGTGATCAACATGACGGAGCGGCGCGGCGGCGTGAACTATATATTGATAATTTCAGATTTTTTCCGTTGAAGCGCTGCGGTCGAAAATTGTTGAAATCAACTGAAATGCACCAAGCCTATACGGAAGATGAATAAATGCAACATTTGTATCGTTTTGAAATGGGACAAAATATAATTAATTCAATAAGAAATAAAACTATATATATTTGGTATCAATTAAACTTTTAGTTACGTAATCGAGGGCGCGATATTTAAATTCATTGTTGCCAACCATGGACATATTTGACGCCGAGATGACTATACTTGTATTCATTTAAAACTTCCCAATATGGCGGACTTCAGTATGGGAGGCTTAAAAAACGAAAATCTCTAAACTGGAATCGACTGTCCTTCAAATCGTTAAAATTGATAATCTGTGGTAAATCCAATTGAATTCTGACACTTGGCTGACATTGACGTTTACCGTTCCTTTTCTAAATATTTTCATTATTTTTTGAGTTTTTATTCACAAATTCTACTTGATTTTGATCTTTTATTTAACCTGCAACCTGCAGTACTAATTATATAGTTATAAATAATCTTTTCACCGATCAAGAATTGACGAATAGGCTGGAAGATATTCAAAATGTGTAAAACGCTTAAAAACGTATTAGAAAACATTGACTCGTTCACAAATTCGTGAAAATAAATTAGTCCAGATGTGTGTAAAAAGGTCTCTAATAATTTTGAGAAGTTTCATCGTATCAGTAATTTTCAGGTTTGTAATATGTATATGATAATAAATAGATTAAAACTTATATTTCAGGAAACAGCGCGGGCATTACAGATTGTTGTAAATCAGTTTTAAAATATAAAGAAGGTTTAAAACAGGTTTAAAAGTTTTTTTTAAAAGAGAAGACCTAAATAAGGTAATGTTGGTAATGGGACCAAACATCAAATAACACTTGAAATATATAATTATGTACAATAATTGTAAGTAGTTTTTATGAATCTGTTTGATATCTATTGCATTGTTTTTATATTTCTTGAAATATATATTTTTTTACTTTACAGGATACATACACAAAGAATAATAAAAAATACAGTTACTCACTAAAAGCACTTAAGGTTTGTAATAGATGTAGTTAGAATATCAAACACCAAACCAAACCAAAAATTATGTTTTATTTTACTGGTATTCCTCACATTTGAAGGGAAAGTCATTTCATAAATAAGCGGGACATTGTATAGTACACTCTATATTAATAATTGTTTTTTATCCTATACTTGTTAGTTAACGCATCACTTACTAGGTATAAAATTTAGTACTGATTAACCTATAGTTGTGGTTGTGATATATTCTGATGTGTTTCTGGCAATTTAAAATAAGTTAATATTTAAACAAACATTTCTGGTTTTCCTGACAGGAGTGTGGACAGAAATTTAATTAAGGTATAATGTGGATAATGTTCTGATGATTACAGTTTGCATGGATGTTTTTGTATGTTGTTATTTTTAATAAAGTATATTTAATGAGTTTTTGAGTATTTCTTTTTCCTTTAGAGGATTGTGTTCTAATCTTTATATATTATAAATTTTCATAAATTATATCTACAAAATTTATTACCTTATAATTGTTTGCTAAATACTTTGTAGTTGATACAGTTTAACAGTATATAAAAGAACTATTTAAATAAGATGTTTGAAAATATATAGCTGTTTTTGCACACATCAATTCAATTTGTGATTAACTGTACTGAAATAAAAACAAACTAAGAGAAATGGGGTGATCTATCAACTATAACATGAAAAGCATCATCCTATTTCCAAGTCTTCTATTAATTTCACTTATTAAACAACTATAATTATTCAATAATCTTGATAATTCTAGGAACTCTCAGATATCGTCAAAACATGAAAACAAAAATTTACTTCCTATAGTTCTTACGTCCCTTTAACTGAAATATAAGAAACAGGGGAGTTAATATTCTCACTGAGAAAGTTTATAAAATACCTTTAAGTAAAATCTCTTCGGATCTGCGGTAAAATACTTTATTCTTATTAAATAAATTCAATAATCTATGTTTTTATTTATGACAACCACCTAATAACCTAACTTTAACGTCAACTTGACAATCCTGAAAAATATTATTGTTAACCAAAGTAAATCAATTTCTGAATTCGCTAACGCCAACTTATTTTTCATTAAAAAAAAATTACCAGTTTTCGTAACTAGGTCGGCCATATTGAGGAACTTTTAAAAGAATAGTACTATAACTGGAATTTAAAATTCCCGCTGGGGATTCAGGTGGCAGCTTTGATGTAAAAAAGTCAAGTTGCCACATTTATGTCAAGTTGTCATATTTATTTATTTCCTGACAGTTTCATTCGTTTTGACACTTTATTTTTGCATTACAAGTTTTTGGTTTAAATAAATAGTGTTGTGGTACTTTAAGCTTAAAAATGTTTACTAGCAGACCTTGCAGTCGAACATTGTTCTTTTTAGAACTTCTTTTATTACGGTTGTGTATAGGATAGCTTAATAGCCGTTGCAAAAATTCATCGCAACTTTATTAGAATATTTTGAACAGGAAAGCGGTTGTAATGACCCTTTATGTCCCTTAAGTGCTGTTAAGAAGATGAGTTTTGTTGATGTAAATACTTACTGTTTATATATTTATAATTAATTTAGTTTTGTTTCCTAAAATATGTAGATTAAAAGAAAAAATGTAAAAGTGGGCAACGCTGTACCTGTCAAGCTTAATCAGGTGACTAAAATTGTATTTAATATGAACTATATGTTCCAAGGGAAAGTAGAACATAAGTTGTAGGGAATTTAAGTCTACAAAATTGTTCAATATTTTATTTAAAAAATTCGAAAAAACAAAATTCAACATTCAACTGAACGAAAAGTTTAGACTCTCTATTTTTTTTTGAAAAAATTTAAGCGATAAGGCTAATCCTCAAATATTTTCAACTTAAACTGATTTAAAATGAATAAAATATCACATTTAAGCCCTTACTACTCACCAATCTCCAGGTATTTTTGGTGTACTGGATCGTATTCGTCCCACACGATTGTTCTGAACCTGTTCCTCTCCCTCGACGCGGCCAGAACCGGTTCCTGTTTGTGGTGTTCGTTAGGATTCCTGCAAAAAAGGACTTCATTAAACTTTGCTCGGCGAAAAACTCCCGGATAATTAGAATTAAGGTTTTATTAGGTCGACCCGAAGGGTGCGGTTAGGCGTAAACTGGAAGTTTTACTATAATTGCGTTGGTGGTTGTTTAGAAAAGATTATACCGGGTGCGTCTCAAAAGTGGCTCACCCCCTATAACTTTTTTATTTTTTCAGATAAAAAAAACGAAATTTGGTGTGTTAGTATATGACATAAATTAGGATTGATTGACGTATTCAATCCTTTTCGACCACTTCCTGTTTCACCGGAACTTACTACAACTTTTGATTTTTAAATGGCACCTTCGGTTTTTTTACTTTATTGGATAGAAAATGACAATCTGAATAGAATGACATATCATATGTCAACTTTTAACATTTTCGCTTATAAAATTGTATTTTAAATTTCAATCAATGGCTGTGTTAGAAACACTAATTTTTAATCAATGAGCCTGGGAAAAATATGTTTGATCGTCTATGTTTTAGTGTCATGTCCCGGCCGGTAAAAAGATGCCTAAATCGTATTTTTAATCATATCAATTTTTTTTCAAATGGAACGAGGGTGGTTGATTAGCATATTTGGAAAAAGCATTTTTTACGATATACTTTGGTACCACACGCTTATTTAACCCTATATTACAACTCCGAATAAAATATATGCGAAAATATCAAAATCTGACATATGATAGGTCATTCTATTCAGAGTGTCATTTGCTATCGAATAAAGTAAAAACATACCGAGGGTGGCATTTAAAAATCCAAACTTGTAGTCATTTTCGATGAAACAGGAAGTAACCGAAAACAGTTCTAATTTATCATATTCTACCAAACCTCAATAACATACCTACCAAACCTCATTTTTTATCTAAAAAAAATAAAAAAGTTACTGGGGTGAGCCACTTTTGAGGCGCACCCGGTATAGGGTGTCTTTATTTTCCGTGATTGGTAGAACTAGACTTTTTTTTAATTAAAATCAGTTTATAGGACTTATTTAACTTTACAATATATCCCCGGAACCCAATCGGGGTGCCAGCCCACTAAACGATAGATAGTAATGAAAAAGCAAACGATTTAACTAGAAAAGGGGCAAACATTCCACTAACTGGACATGAACCGTTCTGCTTTCCAAGCGGAATCCAACCTAAAGTAAAAAAAAAGTCCTCAAGAAGCCTGGAAGACTCCATCCGTAACCTGGAATGAGTATTCTCCAGCCGTCTAAGACATTCAAAGACATTTCTCGGGACTTATGACTGAGAAAAATCAGATCCCCTCAATGAACACCACAGTAGAAATAAAGCCAAGAAACAATGACAAATGCAGATTCTGTGGGGAAAATAGGAAAAAAGGCCAGAACTGAAAGCGCCGAGACGACAATCATTCGTGCCATAAACTTTGGTATGACTGATATCGGAGATGGGAAACAAACCTCTATAAAACCGTCCCAGATACTGGTATATTTGTCAAAGTCCTGAGACTCTATGATGAGTTCTAACTCAAGAAAGGGGCACACAATAAATCTATAATACAATCTACAAATTTAGAATGTTCCCGGATCGTCTTTACAAGAGCAACAACTTTCTATTGTTATTTTTTCGAGAAAAATGCATTTTTTCAAATTTTTTTGAATATACTAAAATGGCTAATCCTTATTATTACTTTATTTATTAATCCTTATTATTACTTTATTTATTACTGTCATATTTTAAAAACTGTAATAATCTCAATATATTATATTGAAAGCTATTTACAATAATTTTTTTGAATGTTAAACTTAGGGTGGACAATACATTATTATTTTAAATAAAGCTTTATTCAAATACAAATATTTACCCATATTCAATCTATTGTTTATAACCAACTGAAATGACCACAAATCCGTGATGATTTATTTAGAGAAGGAACTGTGATTTATGTTCAATATTATATTTCAATAATATTGTATATTTGTTATATAAATTTGCTCATGGCCACAGTGCATGCATATTAAAGGATATTCTGGGACAGAATAATATATACTCTGTCTAACGAAAGAAAATACAGTCACAGTTGTTGTCTGTCATGGACTGTATTTTATACCTAGAACTTCCATCTCACAATTGATACGTAATTTAAAATAACATCGTTGCCAAATGCGCTTCCGTTACGCCATCTTTGGCGTTTGTCGCAGCCATGTCGATATATTTCTCTGAGTCAGACGACTTTAAATAATATATCGCTTACAACGAGCACAGTCAAAAGGTAGAATGTTTTCCGTGTCACAATTTTATATCCGTCAATATGAAATATTGCACTGAGCTTCGTTCATGTTACTTTGTATATTATGTTATATGCCACTGGTATTTGCTCGATACAATTTATTTCAAATGATATCTATATTTTTATGACTGGTTCATTGCTCTAACATTTTGGGAATATTGTCTCATTTAAAAGATTTAAAGTTATTTTTACTATACAAAGAAGTTATTTATTTATTAAGATTATTAAATCAAAATATCATAATTTATTCTTGTGTTATACACGTTTTATTGTTAATTTCACGTTGTATACGAGACACACTCATACAGCTCTAGTTGGCAGGTTTTCTCGCATTTCCTCTAATAGAAAACTGGAATAAATTTTCCTTTATGCTCATTTTCATCCCCTATAAAGCACGTCGTTTTTAATTTGCTCTAGAGGCGGCTGTTCGCCACCTGAATCGTTTTAATTTAAATTTTCCTCAAAATTCTCCTATAAGTTTTCACCATTTTAATATCTCAGGATTTTAGGTCAATTATGGCTGAGACAAGAAAGACATTTAAGCTGCGAATGGTAATTGAAAATTTGTTTTAATAATCTAGATTTTTTACTAATTGCTTGAATGCATAGACTTCGATAAGCAAAGACAGAAAGGCTGTCAAAATGGGCCTTCTAAAACCTAACAAATATCTAAAGCTGATGGAATTGACGGTCAAAGCCATCTGCATTTTGCCGAATGAAAAAGAAACGGCAGAAAACGAGTTATCAACTCAAGGGAGGAGAGTTTTGAGGGTCAGATCCTCATAACAAGAATTGACCTCAAATCCATGGAGGTAATAGAGAAAGAGAGATTTATTCTCTATTATAGATCCGGGGAAAAACACATCAGATCTAAGCAGAGACTAGATTAAAGAGGTAGAGAAGACTGATCCTCCAGCTTGACACCTCAAGGGTATCTCAGCCGGAGACAAGCTTCTAGTAGGAGGTAGATGTGCACTCCTCTGAGGAGGAACATCTGTTGTCAGAGAAAGATGGGAATTACCCTATCCCTCGTACAACAGGAAGATCGTTTTGTATGATGAGTTATAGACTTTATGATGAGTGACTCAAGAAAGGGGGACACAATAAATCTTTAAGGTCGCAGTGATTAACTCACCTTCTGCTCATTAACATACTTAAGAAAGTAATATAAATGATAAAGATTAACTACATATATAACCCCTTAATCCAGTAATATTACGATTTAAACCCGACAAAATTCAGAAAGTTTTGAATATTGGTAGGTATGTTGGGGATAGCATGAGGATTACTAAACCGAAAAGTTCCCACCCCTAAATAGGGTGCGTCATCCCCCAGGACATTGTTTCTACCCCCATTTTGAGTTTTTTAGATAATTTCGGTAACGGTGCATTTCTCGACAAAAATACCTTGTAAAATTGTATTAGACCTACAGGGGATACCACTTTAAAAAAACGCATCAAATACTTTACCTCTAGAGTGATGTGGAAATAAGTACAAATCACCCTTTTTCTAGGGGTACAGGAGTGTGAGAGAAGAACGTATATTAAAATTCTAAGTATAATTTAGTGGTTACTGTTTTTTGTTAGCGTTAAACATTAAACTTTAAATTAGATTGAACTGCAGATAGTGCTAGTCATAACCAACCCTTATATTTGTGCCCTATTTGCCACTTTATTATTAACTTTTAGAAAAAAATGTATTTATCTTTTTAATAGAGAATTTTATGAAGAAAAATTTTCTGTACAGGTATTTTTGTCGAGAATTGCACCGTTGCCGAGATTATCTAAAAAACTCAAAATGGGGGTAGAAACGATGTCCTGGGGGATGACGCACACTATTTAGGGGTGGGAACTTTTCACTTTATTAATACATATGATGTCCTGATTATTTCCACCAATTTTGAAAACTTTATGAATTTTGTCGGATATATCGCAATTTGAGCCATAATATTACTGAACTACCTTTAAGTAACTACATAAAATATAAACTGATCTTGTTAAAGAATGTATTTTTAGTGTGTGAAATCCGTCCCGTTGTTTTCCACCCTACCAGTTTAAAATCGTTTTCACAGGCACTTGGATGTTTAAAATTTAACACTTGGAGAGGACCTTTTCGGACAAGGAAATCATTTATCTCGAGCTTGCGGAAGATATATCGCACAGTGGCTGATGTTTTACGGTAATAAATAGATTTCCCGAAAAAAGGTTCTTTTGTTGGATACGATTTTTATGCTACGTCATTACTCTAGCATTCAAGAAAATAAATATTTAAAAGAGCGAGTCAACATTTTCTATTAAATAAAACATTCTTTTAATCTTTGAAAATACTAGAATTAGCTAAGTTCTTCAAATTTTTGTATTTTTTTACAACGTAATATACAGGGTTGTTCACCACATACGACACGAAATATTGTAGCTAAACGATTAGATTTTTACAAATTGTAAGTTTTGGGTTCGCTGAAGGACTATTAGAGCTACAATTTAAAAATATTTTTACAAGATACAGAGTGTCCCAAATAAATAAAAAATATCAAAGTTGTATTTTTTTTAAATGGAACACCCTCTATATTATTACATTTTTAGTTTCTACGATTAAAATATAGGTAAATTTGATAAAGGTTTATTACACTTAAACCTTACCGTTTTTGAAATATTTTCAATTTTGTGAAATTGCAGTCAAAATTTTAAGGCTTAATTTCTCCAAGGGTATCAAAGTTTT